ATCTATTATTTAAGTGAACATTGAAATCAACACTCAGAGGCGACAGGCTGTTTCATGCTAGATGCAATCGTCAGGTGGCTTGATGATTGCGTCTAGCATGAAACAGCCTGTTGCCTCTGGAGTGTTGACTTCAATGTTCACTTTTATATTTATATGCATATATATATATATATATATATATATATATATATATATATATATATATACACACACACACACACATATATATATATATATATATATATATATATATATATATATATATATATATAATAACAGAAACCGCATCACTTGAGGACTACCAACAGGAGCAACAATTAAAATGAATAGCACATTTAACTTGAAAAGAAAATAATGATATAATCAAGCGGTTGACATTCTACACGACTTCAATGAAAAGGTTGGGAAGGAAGCAAGAAAACTAACAGTGGACTTGGAGAAATATTTTTCCATTGTGAACTGGAGCTACAGAATCACAAAAAAAGATATGTACTAGATAAGAGAAGCCATATCAGTTGAGGACTTTCAACAGCAGCAAGAACTAAAATGGATAACACGTGTAACTAGAAGAGAAAATAATGACATAATCAAGATGTTGACATTCCAGATAACTTGAAAGAAATGGTTAGAAGGAAGGAAAAGAAGTAAGAGTTAGTGGACTTAGAGAAGCATTTGACCATTGTGGACTGGCGCTACAGAATCATAATCAAGAAATGTACCAGATAAGAGAAGCCACATCAGTTGAGGACTTTCAACAGCAGCAAGAATTAAATGGATAACACATGTAACTTGAAGAGAAAATAATGAAATATTCAAGATATATGTTAGAACGGACACCCCCATAAATTTCCATTAGTGAGATATAAGTTCCACTCGGGAAGCGTCTTCTAACAAACCTCTGATTTGTAGAACCGACTCCCAAGATAATTAAAATCTTAACTCGTTCCATTCTAGGGTTAACCACTATCGTCCTCACAAACTGTTCCTCTTAACCTCTACCTTGAGTGGCTCTTAGAGCATTGTACAGGGTGAACATCATTGTAAAATGATAAAAAAAGAATACAAAAGTGATGAATGTAATTTGACACTTATCAGTCAATATCTGTTTATGCCCTTTTCAATATTGACGGAGGGGTTTGCTTCCTAACTTTTATTTGTAGTTGTGTGGAATATCAGCATCAAGATTATGCTCTTATTTTCATTACCAGTTACATTTTAGTTTCTTTTCTGATGTTGCTGTGCTATCCATTTTAGTTTTTGCAGGTGCTGGTAGTCTTTAAGTGATGTGGTTTGTGTTATTTGGTACTGTTCTTTTTTTGTGATTATGTAGCGCCGGCTTCAAGAATTTAAATGCAATCTCCATTGTTAACTTCTGTCTTGCTAATTGTTTTTTTTTCTTTTATTGTTCTCTCTCCTTAATAAGGTTTTTCTGTTTAATATTCTTTCCCGCTTGGTAATTCTTTGCGTCTTAGTGGCTTTATTACCTTGCTTGGAGTGAAATGATTTAAAAAAAAAACCTCAAGCTTCACTTTGCTGGCAATTGGCTTTTTATGACTATACGGACATTAGTAAACTTTACTAAATTTAGAAAAAAAAAACAAACAAAAAAAAAACTGAAAGATGTAGGAGGTCATAGTCCTCTTCAGCTTCCCGCCTTCTGTTGGTCGAAGCAAGTTTGGACTCTTTGCGATCTCTTTCTTCTTCTTCGTCTTCTTCTTCTTCTTCTTCGTCTTCTTCGTCTTCTTCCTCTTCTTCTATGCCTCCTGCTCCTCCTCATCCTTCTTCTTCTTCTTCTTCTTCTTCTTCTTCTTCTTCTTCTTCTTCATGCCTCCTTTCTTCTTCGTCTTCTTCGTCTTCTTCTTCCTCTTTTCTATGCCTCCTGCTCCTCCTCATCCTTCTTCTTCTTCTATGCCTCCTCTTCTTCTTCATCTTCTTCTTCTTCTTCCTCTTCTTCTATGCCTCCTGCTCCTCCTCATACTTCTTCTTCTTCTATGTGCCATGTCCGTTCATATCGAGGCCGATCATGACACTTCTCAAACTCTTGCCTGTTGTTGTCTTGTTGTTCTCAGTAGCTTTTAGCCCATGACTCTCCTTCTTGGTCTCTATACGGCTCTTCATTTCTTCGTTTATATACCATATAGCTTCAGTATTTCGGCAATCATGGCTCTCCACCACTTCCAGTTTTTGTTTGATCTAAGTAGCATTCAGCACTTTATTATTCATTTGAATGTGCTACCAACAATTTCTCCTTTTATCTGTCATATCCGTTCAGGACGTGAAGGATAATGTTTCTCCTCGACTTCCTGTCTCATGTTGCTCTACTTATTTTTTGAACCCTGACCACCGCTTTGCTGGTGGTAGAGAAAAATGACGTAATGCCCAGCCACCGGTTGAACGGTGGGTAAACACTTGCGTCGTGTTTTGCTATTGGTTGTCTTATTTTGAAGAGCTAATCAGAAAAACCGTAATGTCCTCGAACGTTATACTAACATGTCCGCGACTTTTCATTGTGTTCTGTGCGTGATATTTGGATAAAAAAGACTTCTTTTATCACGAAGCGTGCAGTGTCTCTGTTGGAATTTTTGGGGGTCCTAGTGATCCAGCCAAAATGAGCTGACTCTTTTTATAGTTCACCAATAGAAGGGTTAACCAATCAGAAGGCTCAAAATATTCAATGCGACGTGTATAAAAGCGGCCATGTTTTTTTTTTCCCGAATATTCACGGCCAGCCTTTGATATCAAGACCGAAGAATTACAGAACAGCTGCTGCTGCTTCTGCTGGTATTGGCGATATAGTCAGATTCAGTAAAGTGTCTGACTCGAGAGTATTAATCTTTAACGTTTCATTGAACAGATTAAGTACTGCGCTGTGTTTTATATTCATAGACTATGGTGAAAATGGTTAACAGTCTCAACTTGGACTGTCAGGGAAGTAATCATGAAGTTATATTTTTTGTGAAACATTACATAGCAATTATTAGCGAATTTTGAGCTCAGGAGTTCAGGCAGAAGCGTTAAAATTGTTCAGGAGTGTAGATTGGTTTGTTTGATTTGGCTTGTTTTACGGCATATCAACACCTCAATGGGTCATTTAATACCGACAAATTTTCTATTGCTGGTAATGTTTTTCTTCAAAGATTTATTTCTGGGAATATTTTCCATTGAAAAAATCTATAGCCGGTCACATTTTTCCAAAGAATGTATAGGTGTTTGTATTGATCGTATTTTCTTAAAGTATTGCTGATAATAATTTTTCCTTCAAAAATTATTGCTGGTAATAATTTTTTTTCATTAGCAAATATTTCTGGTATTAAAACCTACTTTTACACAAGTTTGGGTGTTAACTATTTTCCCATAGGTGGGACCCTAACAGGTGCTACTACCCCGGGTCAGGGTGGACCTGGGAACACCAGCAATTAAGAGGTGGTTCCACGCTCCTGAAAACCTCCTGATCAGAAGTCTTGCTGTTGAATGAAGTTTATCGTCTTACCGAGGACGCGGATGTAGTTTATCGTCATACCCAGGACTGAGGAGTGCAGAGCTCAAAGGGTTATAATCATTCTTTCTATATGGACTTCCATCCATTGATGTAAGCATTTATATATATATATATATATATATATATATATATATATATATATATATATTAAAGAAAAACACACGACATTAAGGTACCATTATAATAATTTATTTCACAAGGACGCCGGATCATCAGATAGCACTTCCAAAAATGAAACGAAAGATGAAATGAAAATTGATGGGTAGTGTAAGTTTTTGTAATTTAACAGAGTATAATAGGAGTAGTTAGAGAGACATGGTACAGTTTAGGAGGATTTAATTTAATATCTCTCTCAATCATACTTAGTATTGGGAGAGGAGGGGTGTCCAGTCCTCGATCTATTTAAACGGTTAACTTAACGGAAGTGATATATATATATATATATATATATATATATATATATATATATATATATATATTTATAATGTCAATATGTGTTGTTCTGGCATGAGACCCATTTCTCAAAATTAAACAAAAAAAAAACAAAACAAAAAACAAACATAAAAAATAACGTCAATATCGGCGAAAATTGCAAAAAGAAATCTGTTCCTATGGCTTTTATATTTGCAAGACTGATATTATAAAAATTATCAGCTTGTTGCGGTATCAAACGTTTCCACTGAAGATCAGGATCATTTCGTCTATATTTTCGTCTACAATATCCTAAGCGAGACCTTTAAAAATATCTGCAAATCCCGTTGGTCACTTCGATATGAAGCCTTTCTCTTTCTTCAATGCTATGCGGTTCTTAACTAATCATCGTCCGAACACTGTATTTTTGTCGACTCAATCAAAGAGGATCCGTTGAAAGGCATTTTGGTAAGAGATTTAATTAACTCTCTTTTTGGCTGAAACTGTTTCGTCACGTCAAGCTTTCTGGGCCGTCTTCTATTTCGGATCAGGAGCTTTTAGACATATAGAGTGGATTCTGAAGAGAGAAAAAAAAATGGTTACCTATTCTATATCATTATATCTAAGAATCCGCCTGCGCGTCTGTAATTTTCCCTGAGTCGTAACCAGGCACCGGATGTGGTGATTTTCTCCCCTGGACTCTGGGCATGCGCAATGCCGATTCATTTCTGTACATTCACCAATGGACGGACAAAAGAAAAGCGATTAGATACAGCGAGAGGGTGGAGGAATAGTGAGAGTTCTTAGTTCAATTTTGATATTCGCCACTGTAATTATGTTTGCAAAGATGCCACTTTTGCAAATTCAAAGGGGCAGAGTATATGGCTCAGTAGGACTTTATAGATGAATCTTAAAATCTTTAAATAAACGAAACCAATCTAAAGAATACATATTCTATTCATACGAATCTATCCTAAAAATGTTGTCGGCATTAAATAACCCATTATGGTGTATATGTCGTAAAACAAAATAAACTAAACCAATCTAAACCAAAGAATACATATTCTATTCATACGAACCTATCCTAAAAATGCTGTCGGTATTAAATAACCCGTTTTATCTATCTATCTATCTATCTATCTATCTCAGCCTGTTCAATCTATCTATCTATCTATATATATATATATCTATCTATGTCAGTCTGTTCATATATCTATCTATCTATCTATCTATCTATCATTCTATCTATCTATCTATCTATCTCAGTCTGTCTATCTCAGTCTGTTCATCTATCTATGTCATTATCTATCTATCTATCTATCTATCTATATATATATATATATATATATATATATATATATATATATATATATATATCCATCTTAGTCTGTTCAATCTATCTATCTCAGTCTGTTCTTAACTATCTGTCTCTATCTATTTCTCTCCCTCTCGCTCCATATATATATATATATATATATATATATATATATATATATGTGTGTGTGTGTGTGTGTGTGTGTGTGTGTGTGTATTATGCCTGGCAATTATTTTAATATATTTTATTGTTGTGCGTGATATGTATATACACAGATATTTAAGTAAATGCTCTGTTTATAATAAACAGTGTTAACGTCCGAGAAATTTCATAGAGAATATGAGTCCTCTGACAGTAATCGAACCTGTATCCTACAAAGAAAACCTCGTATAGCCTGACGTGCTTTACCAGTTTAACCACGAAGCAGCCGCTGGTTATTGAGGTCGATTTTACTGATTTTAAACAACAAATTTCCCATGATTTCCCTCGAATGGCGATATCGTGTTTTAACGTAAACAAATGACGTCACACACTATGAAATGGACTATGATCGACAATTTATATATATATATATATATATATATATATATATATATATATATATAGATAGATAGATAGATAGTATAACAACAAAATGTATTAAATTTATTGTCGGAATTAGTTCATTTTGTAGTGTGTGGCGTCAGTGGTTTACGTTTAGATAAGCGTCGGGCAGATTGGGACGTTCGAGGGAAATCATAGCAAATTGTAGTTTAAAAACTGTAAATTCAGCCTTGCTAACCAAGACGCTCCTCTGTAGCTAAATTGGTATAGCACGTCAGGCTATATGACGGGTCTCTGTAAGATACTGGTTCGATTCCTGTCGGAGAATCCATATTTTCTGTTGAATTTCTCAGACATTCAGGCAGGTAGATGTTGCTAATTCTGTTTATACAGAGCATTTACTGAAATATGTGTGTATATATAAATATATATGAATATCGTATAACACTAAAAATATCTATCTATCTATCTATCTATCTATCTATCTATGTAAGCCTGTTCATATCTATCTATCTATCTATCAATCTATTTCGGTCTCGTCGTTGTCTGTGTACTTATCAATTATTCATATCAGTCTGTTCATAACTATCTATCTAAGCCTGTTCATATCTATCTATCTATCTATCTATCTATCTATCTATCTATCTATCTATCTATCTATCTATTTCGGTCTCGTCGTTGTCTGTGTATTTATCAGTTATTCATATCAGTCTGTTCATATCTATCTATCTATCTATCTATCTATCAATCTATTTCGGTCTCGTCGTTGTTTGTGTATTTATCAGTTATTCACATCAGTCTGTTCATATCTATCTATCTATCTATCTATCTATCTATCTATCTATTTCGGTCTCGTCGTTGTCTGTGTATTTATCAGTTATTCATATCAGTCTGTTCATATCTATCTATCTATCTATCTATCTGGCTTATACGGTCACCGAGGTTAAGCAAAGTCGAAGCTGGTCAGTACCTGGGTGCGTGACTGCTTGGGGATGCTGTAAGCTTGGATGTATGTGTGGTGTAAGGTATAAACACTTCAGAATTGTTTTATCGGCGAGTCGATATGCAATTCCAGTTAGTTTCGTTATCTTCAGATACCTACCTTTTCGAAGGTATGTATTAACGTCATGGCCCCTAGCTATGGGTAAAATAGTAAGACTTTAGTATCACTAAATCGTTATTATCTCCCCAAAATTCTTACAACGGAAAAAAATATTTCTGACTTTTAATAACCTCCAAAGATTGACAACGATTCTATCTATCTATCTATCTATCTATCTATCTATCTATCTATCTATCTATGTCTCTTCGTTGTCTGTGTATTTATCAGTTATTCATATCAGTCTGTTCATATCTATCTATCTATCTATCTATCTATCTATCTATCTATCTAAGCCTGTTCATATCTATCTATCTATCTATCTATCTATCTATCTATCTATCTATCTATCTATCTAAGTTTGTTCATATTTATCTATCTGTCTAAGCCTGTTCATTATCTATCTATCTATCTATCTATCTATCTATCTATCTATCTAATTACCTAGCTAGCTATTATTATGTTCCCAAACATCTTCAATAATACAGTTACATATATAATTATATACTTATATTCTCATAAGTACATATAGATCTATACATAGAATACATCAACATCATAATATGTGTATGTGTTTGAGAGAGAGAATGAGAGAGAGAAATCAAACGTGGGAATCAAATCAAGTTAATGAGATAAACAGACGTAAATTAGATATTATATTAAATCATTATGTCCATCGTCCTAATCATGGACGTGTGGGCATTAATGGATTTTAGATAGAAACGTTTAATTAATACCAAATTCATAATCCACCTCCAATTACTTCCATCGTACGAGCCGCTGTTGTTACTGATATCGACCTTGATTGTAGAAGCTCAAATCCCGAGTTCAAATTCGCCGCTGATCTGTGATATTCGGTTTCGTACAATTCCGTTACGGAAGAAAGGAATTCGTCCCCCCACGCCACTGCCAACGAATGCTCGGAATGTTATCAGAAAGAGCAATACAATTGAAGAATCGTGTGTATCTGTGCTTTAGCATTGGAATATTCGCCAAGGATATAAGAATGGTAAAGAAACTAGACAAGCAGAAAGCCGCCTGCATACGGATAGGAAATGAGTTCAGAGGGCATTCAAAAATAGAAAGGAGTGTAAGACAATGATGTGTCGTCTTATCAGATATTATTCAATCTATACGGTGAGGTCATTCTGAGAGAATCAGAAGTCCTACCAGGATTTATTATTGGCGGACACATTCTTAATAACATACGATATACAGATGACAAGAGGTTTAAAATAAACCTTTCCAGGGTGTAGACGTGTATATACGTTTTTTTTTTTTTTTACGGAAATTGAGCTTTTCAGACACAGACGAATACAAAACGTCCAAGGTATGACGTTTAAAAAATCAACTACAGATGTGTTTATACGTTAATCTTGATTCTTTCTATAGCTTTCTAAGCTCGAAATGAGTCCACTTGTCGACTCGTACATTTGGTAGAGGTGTTAGCTACCATTTGGTTACCCCAAGGTGCCTCAGTTTCTTAGTTACTATATAAAAAAAAACAAATTAAAAAAAAATATCGACAGAAAATGAAACTTTTTCCTGGGAAAGAGTTAATCAGGTTTCACGTGCTTTTGACTTGTTAAACAAATGTTACTATAATTTATGGCGATCCGAATTCAAGGAGAGTCGACGTGTCTTTTCGAAGTTCCAATAAATGACAGTATATCAAACCTAAATGAAAAAAAAAACCGTAGCTATTGCTTTATGAACTTTTTCACGTAAACAAAGATTGTTTTAGATAAACATACGTTAGATTCTTTAAGAATCGATTCACTAATATAGACACTTTAATATGAACTATACCTCAGCTTAGCTTCTGATCAGGTGGGGGGTGAGAAGTGTGGGACCACCTCTTAATTGTTGGTGTTGCCAGGCCCACACGTGACCCGGGGTGGTAGGTCCTGTTATGGGCCCATCTATGGGTAACTAGTAAACTAATGCCAGCAATACTTTTTTGAAAAAAAATTATAACCAACAATACAGTTATGAAGGAAAAATATTACGAGAAACAGATTTTTGACAAAACAAAATATTACCAGCAATAAAACATTTATTGGTATTAAACAAAATAAATTAAAACAATATATCCTAAAAATGTTGTCGGTATTAAATAACCCATTGAGGTTGATATGCCGTAAAATAAAATAAACCAAACGAATCTAAAACAAAGAATACATATTCTATTCATACAAATCTATCCTAAAAATGTTGTCGGCATTAAATAACCTATTGAGGTTGATATGCCGTAAAACAAAATAAACCAAACCAATCTAAACCAAAGAATACATATTCTATTCATACGAATCTATCCTAAAAATGTTGTCGGCATTAAATAACCCATTGAGGTTGATATGCCGTAAAACAAAATAAACCAAACTAATCTAAACCAAAGAATACATATTCTATTCATACAAATCTATCCTAAAAATGTTGTCGGCATTAAATAACCCATTGAGGTTGATATGCCATAAAACAAAATAAATCAAATAAACCAAAAATTCTTCGGCCTAGATATATATATATCTTAAAGACGTATATATATATATATATATATATATATATATATATATATATATATATATATATATATATATTTTCTTTAACAAAATGTCTTTTTCAGACAGTGACGAATAAACACGTCGAAAACATAACGTTCAATGAGCAGCATTTATTATTTTTATTCTGAACTCGAATTCTGATCTTGTCAACTCAGACGTCTGGCTAAATTAAATTTGAAATTTTCTGGGGTACGTAATGAAGGAGGATGGCTTAGAAAGTCTGATACTCACAGGACAGATTGAGTGACAGAGGTAAGCAACACGTAACATAATGGAGTAATAAGATGGCAGAACATGGTTTGGGAAAAATAACAAAAAGGACAAAACTTATTAAGATGTACAAGGGACAGGAAGATGTGGAGAGCAATGATCGCCAATGTTCTGAAGGGACATGGCACATAAAAGAAGTAGAATTTGAGTAGGCTTTCAACATTTAAAGTCACAAAGAACTTAGGCAACTTCTAGGTAACCTTGACATAGGTCGAGAGTATATTGGAATAATACAGAACCTACACTAGCAGCAAATCGTCGCAATACGGTGAGAAAATGAATTAAATATACAGAAAAATAAAAAAAAGGTTGTAATACAAGGATGTATCTTCTTACTGAGCTTATTCAACATACACAGTGAGATGATAGTGAGAGAATGCAAAGTCCTAATATGTTTCATTATTAGTGTCTACAATCATAATAACATATATGCAAATGACAGCGTTGATAGCAGACATAGAAAAGAAACTAGCAGAACAACAAAGGTTAGTGAAGGAAAACGAGAAGAAAGGATAAAATATACGGAACCGTCATATAGCCTGACGTGCTTTTACCGATTGAGCCACAGAAGAGCGTTTCGGTTAGCAAGGTCGATTTTACTGTTTTTAAACTACAATGCGCCATGATTCTGTCTCGTACATTCATATCTGCTCGATGCGTATCCAAATGTAAACAAATGACGTCACACATTGTGAAATGGACAAAGTCCGACAATTATTTTAAGACATTTCTTTTTTTATACATTTTTTTTTATAGATACAAATATTTAAGTAAATGGTCTGTTTATAATAAACAGTATTAACGACATTTACCGGCCTGTATCTTCGAGAAATTTTCATAGAAAATATGCGTCCTATGTGACGTGATTTGTTTACATTCAGACTACCATTTGTTTCGTAGCTTACAGAATAATTTGGAAGAAACAGCTTTTGTAACACAAGAAGATGTTAAAACTGACATTTGTGAGTTCTTCGAATCAAAGCCAAAAGAATTTTACAGTAATGGAATTAGTAAGCTTGTTAATAGATGGAAGGAAGTCATAGATAATCAGGGAAAATACATTGTTGATTGAATCTGTAATTAAATGTAACATTTGGTCACTTGTTTTCTTTATTTAAAATTCGTATAGAACTTATGGGATAACCTGATATATATATATATATATATATATATATATATATATATATATATCAGAAATATAGACAGACTCTGATATACAAATTCTATTTAGAAAAATCCAGGGCATCAGTTGGAGATCCCATGCAATGCTTAACTCAATTTACGGAGAACGGAGACCAATCTCTCTGAAGCTCAAACAAAAGCAATTGCAGTTTTCCAGTTACTGCCATCAAGTGGACGGGGAGGTCGTCTCATGCTTACACCTATGGCAGGCTTCCGGAGGTGTTTTCTCGCTAAAGTTGACTTTCCTCAGACACCATGGCTCGAGACTCAAAGTTGGAAATTGGGGATCTGGTGACGGCAATGCGAATCGCGTGGAAACGTGTTGTCAATGGAGTTACGACTAACAATAGGAAGGTCGAAGCATGATGATGATGGTGATGATGATGATGATGATGATGATGATGATGGTATATACATCGTAAACTCCACTGAACCATCCGTGTTGAAATAACTCAATAATACACCCATGAAATGAGTTGAGGAATTCAAATATCTTGGACCTCACATCATAGATTCCCAAAAAGACATCAACATCCGCAAAGCACTTGTTCGGAATGCATATAACAAACGAGACAAAATTTGATGCTCGAACCTTCGATCCTCTTTAAAAGTCCAAACTTTTTGAACCTTAATTGAAACAGTCTTACTGTGTGGATCAAAAACATGGACATTATCTGTTCTTGAAAGACGACTGGAGGGAACATGTACAGATCTTTTTAGAAAAAACAAGAACACCAGTTGGGGATCCCAAGCAATGTTTAACACAATTTACGGAGAACTGAGACGAAATATCTCTTAAGCTCACTGTTATACTAGAACATACCTATTCTATTGTTAATAGACTCTCCCACATATAATAAGTAGTAGCAGTCGCCAGGGAGCTCAGCGAGTTGGTGAGTCAGTCGATGTCGGACATTATAGTATCAACCACCACAACTAGATTGCTGCGTCATTAACTATTATTTCAAGTTCCTAACGTTTTGTACGTCGAACCTTTTTAGGACCGACTTAGGTAAATACAAGCCTCCACTGTGAAACTACTCTACAACACATTGGCGACGATGGATTCGTTCTCATACGGAGGAAGGAAAATTTTTTGTTCACTCTACAACAACTTTGGCGACCAGGATTCGAAACTCATACGGAGGAAGCAAAAAAAAAAAAAAAAATTCGTTTCGCCATATACAACACTTGGCGACGAACGTATTTTGGATGCATATGGAAAAAAAAAAACTTTTCGTGCACTCTATAACAACACTTGACGACTACGATTCGAAACTCATACGGCGAAAAAAAAAAAATTCACCGGCCGTAACAAACTTGGCGTACGAGGGATTCGGATC